ACAGAGCCCGCCCGACACGGGGCTTGAACTCAGGAACCATGAGATCATGACCTGAGCCCAAGTTGGACGCTTAACCAACTGAACCACCCAGACGCCCCCCCTAATTTTTATTTTTAAAAACAATTTTAAACCATTTTATAGAGGTGTGATTGACATACAAAAAGCTGTACACAATTAGCGCAGACAACTTGGGGCCTCAGGAGTTAAGTGCACACACAGGACACCCTGGCGGCCCCCAGAAGCCTCCTCTTGCCCTTTCATTCATTACCAAGATCTGTGATGAGGCTTGTGACGCCTTCTGTCCAGGAGGTGCCTCTGCCTGAGAACATCGCTGGGCCTCAGGCCACTCCTGGAGCCCTCCATGCCCCGCCCAGGGGTCACCACCTCCAGGAAGCCCCTCTCTCCTGGGCACAGCTGCCCCTGGCTGGCCCCTCCCCAGCCCCCCAGGACGCACCCGCACCCCTCGGCCCTGAGCCACCAGGCCCTGCCACGCCTCCTGGGGCACAGGGGAGATCGCGTTTCGGAAGTCATGAAAGATGCAGGCTGGAGGCAGGCTGCAGGGGAGGGGCGAAAGCAGCATTCTCTGCCCCCTCTACCTTCTGCGGCTGGAAACTTCACCCTGGAAAATGCTGAACTACGGGGGTGGGGGTGGGGCAGGGGCGGGGCCGGGGCAGGGGTCGTTTTTGCCGTGTGTCTTACTTACTAAACTTAATCCCATCTAGAATAGTGTACCAGGAGAAAGGCAGAATGGGCGTGTGCAACAGTGGCAGTCAGGCAGCCCCGCCTTCATTCAGCCCCGGAGGCTAAGTAGCAGAGGCACTAGGTTTAAAATTCCAGATCGGAGCACCGGGCCCTCAACCCAGCCCCGCCTCGACCCTGCACTGCTGACTGCGGTGCTCCACACACAGCAGCCCCACCGGGGTCGCGGCTTGGCCTCTTCACGCGAGCCTCCAGCTGTGCCCACAGCTGTGGGGGGGCCAGCCCCAGGCCCCACACGCCCCAGCCCACCGCCTGAGGGCCTGTGTGCCCGCAGCGGGGCGGCTGGGCTGGGCGGCTCATCACGTGTGCGCTGCTGCGAGGGGCGGGTGTCCCTCGCCTGTGGCGGGAATGTGCTCCTGTCACAAACCAGAAGTGCCAAAGCACCTTCCCTCAAGGCCACCACAGTGCTGTCCTGGTCTCCAGTCCTGGAGAAAAGAGCTGGGCGCAGACCTCTGGAGGGGCTCCCACCTGCTGGGGGCAGGGTGGCCAGGTACATATACGCCCAAGAGCACACACCCATAAGCACGTGTATGTGTACGCGTATATAAACACGTAAACACGCATGCACGGATAAACACGCACAAGCAGACACACGTGAGCAAATACGCACACATGCTCGGTGCACACGCATGTGGGCACATGCACATATTAACCTATAAACAGCACACGCACACATGCACAGCCAGGCTGACTGTGCTGGCCTCTGGGCTGGAGGAAGAATTCCCTTTTATTCTGAGCCTTCAACAGCCGTTCGAGCCCTTTACAGCCACATGCACGCTCCAATACAGAATGACACGTCAGTGCCCCCAGCATGGGGACCCTGTGTCCCCGCTCTCCCCTGTCCTGGGTGCCCCCGCCCCGTCCTCACACTCACTGTGGGTAAACTGAGGCTAGCACAGGAAGCGCCTTATCCAAAGCAGAGACCAAGGGAGGGCTGCACTTTGACCCGTGTTCCCCTCAGGCCTGCAGAGGGGGCTGGGGCTGGGATCAGGGCCGGCGAGGTGGAGCTGTGCACTCACTCGGCCACTGTTCCGCACCCCCCACCCCCACGGCTCCAGTGGTGTGACCTTAGGACAGCCAGCACCCTCCGGGCCTCAGTCTCCCGTGTGCGCGACCCCCTCCGGGCCTCAGTCTCCCGTGTGCGCGACCCCCTCCGGGCCTCAGTCTCCCGTGTGCGCGACCCCCTCCGGGCCTCAGTCTCCCGTGTGCGCGACCCCCTCCGGGCCTCAGTCTCCCGTGTGCGCGACCCCCTCCGGGCCTCAGTCTCCGTGTGTCTGACAGGGCCAGGAGCAGGCATCCTAAGGTTCTGGTGGATCTGGCCACTGCCTCAGAGCCCCAAGTGGCAAGCACGCCCCTCCTGGTGCAGGGCACTTCCTGCCCACGCGGCCATCTGCTTCCTGTTCAACCCGTGCAGGGATAAGGGGCGCCAGCCAGGAGGCCAGTCAAGGCCCGCTCACCACGGCCTGGCTGTGTGGCCTCGACAACGTGCTCCCTGTAGCTGGCCTCAGTCTCCCCATCTGTGTGCCCCGCGCTGCACTCTGGGAAGCTCCCCTCTAGTGGACCGGGAGCATCGACCCTCCAACCTGGCCCATCTGCCCCAGAGAGCCGGCTGTCCCGGGCACAGTCTAGCGGGGCAGGGTGGGAAGGCCGCCGGAGCCCTCGGTCTGAACTGCCAGCCTGGCTGTCGGGAGCACGCCGGGAACCTCCCACACAGACCTCTGCCCGTGACCTGAGTAGCGCAGGGAACAAACACCCTGGTTAATGTGTCCCCGGGGCCAGGAGGACTTCCCCTAAACCTCAACGGTGGTAGCGGGAGCCGGGCGAAGCGGCAGGTGAGCTCTGGAGTTCTCCCCCTAAAATCCAGGAAGGAGCCTTGTGGGTTGGGAGCCAGAGCCCAGGAGGGAGGCCCGCCTTCTGTGGACAGAGGGCCTGGGGGCGTTCGCAGCTAGCCCAGGGCCACAGTGCTGTCCTCAGCCCGGACAGGGAGGGAATTGGGACGGATGTGAGCCCAGATCTGCAGCGCCCAAGTGCCTGCTTCGGCCGTAGCTTCACGGAAACACTCCAGTCCAGCCCAGGCTCGGGTAGAGGAGACGGCGTGCCCGCCCCAGCCTCCAGCTCCCCGGGGAGTTGAGGCCAGGCCTGGGAGGAGCCAGGGGTCTGGGTTGCTGACCGCCCCCCGTCCTGCCCTCCCTGACTGCTGCGTGGAAGTGTGGAACGGGAGCCCCTGCCCAGAACCCACCTTCATGTTTTCGGAGGAGACCAAGGCCCCCACCAAATCCATGGGGCGTCCATTGGCTGCCCTGTGAGGAGCTAGGGTAGGACTCCCGCTGGCACCTCTCCCCAAGACCCCTGAATCCCACACCAGGGTTCTGTGCCTCAGTTTCCTCATCTGCAAAATGGGCGATCAGACTGAATGAGGGGTGCAGAGGCCCTTTGGTCTGTGGGAGCCCAGCCAGCCAGGGCAGACGGCCTGCTAAAGGAGCTGCACGGATTTGGAACAATAGATCCGAACAACAAGAGAAAGGACAAGCCCAGGAAATGGCCGTGTGCCCTGAGCAGGACCCAGGGGCCTGGCCCACCACAGCTCCTCTGCTTGGGCACAGTAGGTGCCGGTGGGAACGGGGCTTTGGAGTCCTTCCCTCTGGGGAGGGACCTGAGAACCGAGGTGGGTCTGGCAAGACCTGGAGTATCCCTCATCTGACCCACCCATCTGGCCATGTGCCATCACTCATGCCTGGCATGGAGGCCACAAGGCCAGCACTGAGAGGTGTCTCGCTCCACGTCAGTGTCCCTGTCAGTGTCCCCACAGGAAGTCTCGGGGGGGGGGGTTTTCCCACAGCAGCTGGGCCATGGGCTGGGCAGACCTGCTTCCTGTGGGCTCAGCACTGGCCGGCAGTGACCCCAAGGCCTTTTAGAACTTGGCCAAGACCCTGCCAGCCTCAGGATCTTTCCGGGAAAGCAGAAGTGAGGGAGAGAGCCCAGATGCAGCCCCCGGAGCCACGCCCCACCCCCCTGCTCCCCCCCCCCCTGCTGTGTCCTCCGCTGGCTGTGGCCCAAAGGCCACCACAAGGTCCAATGCAGCTGCCCCCAAGCCGAGAGACGCCCCAGGCAGGACACAGCCGAGGGTCATTTTCACACAACATTCAGGTTTGCTACTTGTCCTGCCACCAGCCGCAGGTGAGAGAGACACCAGCTCTCTCCTGCAGGGGGCCTCGGGCGGTGGCCTGGCCTCCCGCGAGGCGGCCACATGTTGTTACAGGGCACAGGCACGGGTGAGAGCACCTAAAGGGTCTGTTCAGCTTTGCAAGCTGCACGTGAGGGCTCTTCCCGAGCCCGCCACCCTGGGAAGTGAAAGCACCCCATCCCACTTCCCACTAGAGGACACTCCAGCCCTCAGTGGGTGTCCTGAGGCTGACAGGGGCTGCCTGGGCTCACTGCAGTCAGCACCCCCACCGCCAGGGCTGTGCTGGGACCAGGACCAACCTAGCCCACCCACTCTGTTTGCCCAGCCCTGTTCCACTCGGCCATCCAGCACCCCAGGGTCACTCTCTCGCCAGTGAGACTTCTCCTCACAGGTGTTTATGGCTCGATTTGAGCAGGTGCTGTGAAGGCAAAAGGTTGTGCTCGTCCACCAGCCAGGGGTCCTGCTACCGGGAAAGGCGCCACCGAGTTATCACCAGCAGCGGCAGGGAACGTGGACACTGTGCTCAGCACACGCCACTCCAGCCCATGTGTGGTTCACCACGGCATCTTCTGACGAAAAGATATTGCTACCATCCCAACATCACAGAGGGAGAAACTGAGACAGAGTAACGTCCCAAGCAGACACAACAAGGCAGGTCCTGAAGGTGGGAGGGCGAAAGGCAGAGGCTGGTGCTACTGCACTGGGCCGCAGGCACGGTGAGATCCTTCCAGGGACACCCACACCCACACCCACACCGCTCGGGGCCATGGGAAGGGCCTGACCTCTCCTGTCACATCACACGTCCTCCCCAGACTTGCTTTTGCCTTTCCCTTGCTGTTCTCTCTCTCACGATGTCCTTGCCCACATGGCAGATGGCTGTCAAGACCACAGTCGGGTCCTGCAGCACTTAGCCAGCAGCTCCCCCTGTGCAGTAGCCCTCCAGACCCCCCTGCCCCCACCCCACACAGCAGGGCTCCAGGTTTCTGGCCTTGGCTTCCTCCCGCCTGGCTGGTCTCAGCACTGATCTAGCTGCTCAGTGATGATGGGGTTCCTCCCACCTGACCTCCTGGGCCTTGGGGTTCACAGACCTGCCTGCCAAAGCTGAGGGGAGCTGGGAGAGGCTGGACTGGAAGGCTGAGCCACAGGTTGGGAGGTGAGCAGGATCCCCTCCCCTTTCCAACTGGGGTGTGTGTGTGGGGCTCTATTTTCCCTTCAGACTGTGCACGGAGTGTCCTAGAGAGGTGAGGCAGTTCTCCCCACTATGCACAATTCCACAGTTTGAAGGGTTTACATGTTGTGGGTAGGTCACCAAGGCGACTCGGTCTCAGTTTCACCACCAACCCAGGGACAAACATCTCTGTGCTACCTTAGGCAGTTGCTTGAAGGGTCAGCACAGAGTGTTGGGCCTCAGAAAGTTCTTCTGTCAAGAACAGACAAGTGATGGAGAATGGAGAGGATTGGGGGTTTACCAGCACATAGTTGTAGTTTCTGCCATCAATCACTACCCCTATGTTCCTCTCCCCCCCTTCAAATTCCCCCCCACCAACCTGCCGTTTGCTTCCCTCACAGCGAGGCGCTGCGTGCTGCTCTGTGCCTGGTTCATGGAGACGGGGTTATCTCCCGCGCTCTCATCGCTGTGGGGCCGAAAGTGAAAGAATGTTCAAGTCACAACAAGTCACCAGAGAGAAAGCCATGCCCAGGACTGTATCACACAAACAGGTGTTGTAATTCTGGGCCCAGGTATCAGGGTACCGGACAGCTCGCCCCCCTCCTGCCTCCCCACAGGACCCAGGGCAGCGGGGAGCCACCACTTGTAAAGTGAAGTCACCACTGCCAGCGCTCGTCCATGCCCACGGCCAACCGGAGGCCAGGGAGTGCATGTTTTGCAGAGGCCGCGTGGAGACAGGAGTGGAGCCACAGCCGGCCCTGGCATCGGGCACGCACTGATAGTGCGGTGGCGGCGAACACAGCGGTGACGCAAAAACTGTTCGCTGTTGGCCCTGCCTGAGGTTGGGATTCCCGCGTCCGCGCGCACGAGCGGGAGGGGATGTAAATGAAGTTACAGAGGTCAAGCACGGGAGGCGGGGAAGGTGGGCGCCCAGGCCACTGCCGCGCAGCTCGGCGTGGGTCGCACCCGTCGGCCTCGCCCGAGACCCGGCGTGGCCCTGAATTTCTCGGACCGCACAATGTCGGACCCGACGGCGGGGGCGCACGCGAGCAGAGACCCCGGCACCCCGCAGTGCGGAAGCGGGCGCGCAGCCGGTCATGACCCCGGTCGAAAGTTCGGGGAGCAGCGGCGCGGGGCTCCAGAGGGCGGGCGTCGGCCAAGATCGCACAGCGGCGAGACGGGGCTTACCGGGCGTCCGGCGAGCCCGCGCAGGTCGCCGTTAAGCTCGAACTCCTCGGTGCCCGATTCCGCTGCGCGGCAGCCAGAGCCGCCTCAGCCCAACAGCGCGGGGTTCGCGCCTGGGCCCCTGGGGACCCCGAGGGCTTCCTGCCCCCCGGCCCGCCCGGCCTGCCTCCCCTGGCCCGCCCCGGACTCCGCCCCTCAGGCTCCGCCTCAGGACTCCGCCCCTCCACAGGCAGCAGGGGCGGGCCCTCATGGGGACCCTGAGGACCTCCCTCTGCCGCGCGGGCGGGGCGGGCTACGTCCGGCTCTGCCCACGTCTTGACACTTTTAATCCACGAAATGAAGCCAAGAACCATCCTTCCCACACTTCTGCAAACTGCTGGGCGCGCCAGGAAGGCGAGTCGCTGTCGCTGCCAGGGAAGGGTTCGGGTGCCCCACGCCCTCGGGGCCGACCCAACACTCAGGAGGTGGGGGCGGTGGGGGCAGCAGAGAGCTGCTGCTTGGTGCAGCCTGTTGGCGCAGCCTGTGTTCCCAGAGGTGAGACAGGGGTCTCTGGAGTTCCGTGGCGCCCCTGCGCCAGGGGGCGGGCTGCCAGGTGGGGCGGCCAGAGGCAGCCACTCCCCAGGCCTTGGCTCAGTCGGTCGCCGCCAGCTTCCCAGGGCGCCTGGCAAGACGCGGGCCGCCTCCCAGGCGTCGGAAGCCAGGCGGGTGCAGCAGGGGCTGAGCTAAGGTGCCACCTCCCTGGGCCACGTGTGTCCTGAGTCCTGACCCTGAGCCTGCCTGGCCAGGCTCAGCCAGCCACCACACCCACTTCTCCCGCGGTGTCTGCCGATGTCTCCGCCAAAGCAGCCTAGTGTCCGTGAGCGGGGCCACGGGCCCCCTTGGACCTCCCTCACTTCGGCTGGGGTCCCTCCAGGCTGCCGGACTCTATAACCCTGAACCACCATAGCTGTGTGGGTTGGGCAGGTGACTGGACCTCTCTGTTTCGGCTTCCCCATCCGTGGTCTGGGAATGGTCTTAGGCCCTGTGGGCTGATTATCGCCCCATCCGAAGAAGGTAAGTAGCAGTGCCCCAGGTCAGGAAGCAGCGAGTTAAGTGGGTGAATTAGCTGGAGTTGGAGGCTTGTTCATTCATCAGGCCATCATGGAACGCCTACTGTATGCCCGGTCCTGTTCTAGACACAGAGCTGCGACAAGGTGGGGTGGGGGGGGCAAGGTTTGTGGGACAGGCAGGAACCAGCCCCCAGCAGCCCTGCGCGGGGGCCAGGTACGTGGCTTTTCTTACAGCCTCGGGAGGTAGGCTCTCCCCGCTCGCCTGATCGCCTGATCGGGAAAACTGAGGAAGGGGGAGCGGGGGAGGCCGAGGAGGAGGAGCTCAGAACTTCTGGGGCCTTTGCAGGCCGTCTAAGCGGTAGAATGGATGCCCCCCCAGCAGGTCTGCGTGGCCAGCAGGAGGGCACCGTGGGTGTGGGAATCCAGTTCCTGGTTTGACCAGGTTCCTCACCACACTCCAGGCTGAGACCTCCCCTCCCCCGCCCCACGCCTCATCCCTGCTGGCAGAGGATTTTTATAAGTGAAACCAAAGGCATGGAAAATGCAAGTCACCCAGGGGATTTATCAGAAAAAGGGATCTTCCACTAAACCCTGGTCTGGGCCTCCTGTTGACCTTTCTCTCCTCCCTTGTGTGGGGGAGTAGCAGGGCTGGCAGGGGGTAGCACTGCCCAGGTGGGGGGGGGCAGCCATCCCAGGGGGTGTCGGTCCTGCCCACTTACCCCATACCCAGGTCTGTGAAGGAGCTGCCGTTGGCCCAGTTCAAGGCTGAGGGAACTGAAGCCAGGACAGGTGGTCGGTGCCTCAGTCCTGCTTTGGGCCACCCTGAGCTGAGCGGGGACTCTGCAGTGCCCCCCGGGGTCTGGGCAGGCCTGGGCACGGGGCCCCGTACAGCAACACACAGTTCTCACAGAGCCCACACCTGACTGTTGACAAGTGGCCGGAAATGCAGAATGTTAAATGTTAGCACCTTTCACACAAAAGGGCATAAACTCCCACCCCAGGGGCCACGCTGGCCAGGAGGGAGGGTCCTGAGAGTGCAGGGGAGGCTGGGAGGTGGGGAGAAGAGCCTCGGCCCCTCCGCCAGGTGAGAGGGTCTTGTCTTGGTGGGCTGTGTGGGGGCTGCGGGCGGGAAGGCTCCGGGGGCCCTGAGTCCCCCATCCTGAGCTTGTCTCTCCTGTGGGCCCCATGGCCGCTCAGAGCTGAGGTTCACCATTCCCTTGGTCCAGAAGGAGGATGTCAGGAAAGGTCCCGGTGTAACAATTCAGCACTTCACCTTCCTGGGGTCAAGGTCACAGCCTTCCCAGCAGGGTCTCGCCCTCCAGGCCCAACCCCCACCCCATTGTGTGTCCTGGAGAGGGACTTCCTGGACGGCTGTGTCATCCTCATTTGCCTATGAAGTGTCTGCTTCCCTGACTGCTCCCAGCACGGACCCAAAGGGGCCGGGCCATCTTGCTGTGTGTCCTCACTACCTGCTTTCAGATTCTCCTGCAGAGACCGGATGCTGAACTGAAGAGAGGGTCCGTGGGCAGAGGATCACGGGGAGTGTCCCGGGCTGGCCGTGCTCCCCCAGAGAGGCGCAGAGACGTGGCGGAGAGGCTGCACGTACCAGCAGCACACGTGTAGATACACCCGCACACTCAGAGTTAACCTGGCTCCACCGAGCTGCGTGACTAAGGAAGCACTTCCCGGCTGACAAACGGGGGCGCTGAAGGTGAAGCACCCCAGCCCACAGGACACCAAGGCCAGTGCCCAGTGTGGGAGGGCCCTGGAGCCCCCGTGGGCCCCTGTCACCTGGGGCAGGCCCCTGGAGCTGAGAGCTGAGGACAGGAGTGAGGCAGCCCTGGTGGCAGCTTCATGCCCCAGGCAGGCAGAGAGCGGACGCCTGAGCAACACCCCTCCTGGCCAGGAAGGACACAGGCCTCCCCGCCGAGAGGCCTGCACCCCAGCCACCGCACCCACCCTGGAGCCAGGGAGGAGCATCACCTGTGCCCCCGCATTACCGCGGGGAGGGCTCGACCCATCGCCTCGGGCCTGGGAGGATGCGCCTCCAGACAAACCGTATTTTGTGGACTGGAGCCTTAGAAGGCCGCTGGCTCCTGGCCGGTCTCCCTCTCTGAGAGGCGTGGATCCCTGCCGGTGGTGTTTCCACATACGGAGGGCAGGAGCGGTGGGGGGAGAGGTGGCATGACCTGCCCAGGCCCCCCCCAGCCCAGCGAGGCAGGCTTGCGCTCGGTCTGCCCGGGAGGCCCCGCCCCTCCCGCCTCCAGCAGGGCCCGGCCCGCCCGCACACGCCCAGCGCCAGGCAGAGCCCGGGGGTGACAGACACGCCTTGGGAGCTGGTGGCCCGTGCCCACTGGCCCCCCTGGGGCACCATTACCTGGCGGCGGGTGGGCCGGGCTCTGTGCTCTGTCGGGTACTTTCGGGGACCACGGCTCCCACCAGATGGGTGCACGGGGCCAGGGGGTGGAGCAGGGCTGACCTTCCATTTCCAGAAGGACAGGGAGAGGAGGTCAGGCCTATGAGCAGGTGCTGTGCCACCGCCACACTTTATTTATTTGTAACTTTTTAAAAAGATTTTCCTTCAACATTTATTTATTTCTGAGAAAGAGTGCACGCGTGCGTGTGCTTGCATGGGTGGGGGAGGGGCACAGAAAGAGAGGAAGAGAGGATCCCAAGCAGGCTCCCCGCGCAGCTCCGTCCCATGAACTGCGAGATCACGACCTGACCGGAAATCGAGTCAGATGCTCAACCCGCCGAGCCCCCCAGGTGCCCCTTCTTCCCCGCTTGAAAGACAGGAGCAGAGGAGCTTGCCAAGGTGGCACAGGCATGCCTGGGTCAAGGATGGCAACGGGCCAGGTGGTGTGAGCGGGACGCCCACGCAGGTGTGTGCACCACCTCCCACAGTCCCCCAGCGAGTCGTGACACGCCCAAGACCACCCAGTATGGCGCAGCTAGCCCTAGAGGGCCCCCAGCCCCAAAACAAAGTGAGCGCCCACCGTGAGGGTGACACTGAGTTGTGGCCCTCCGTGTTTTGGAATGCCTTGTAGCCATTTACAGAGCAAGTGGGTGGCAGGCTGGCTGGCCTGGAGGGACCCGCCCCGTACCATGGAGAGAGAGCAGTGACAAGTGGCTTCTTCCTGAGGCCCTGACCCACCCGTCTGTCCTGCCCGTTTGTGCACTGGGTTCTCCCAGAGCAGGGTGGGGCTGACTCACTTGTCATCTCCAGGCATCTTTACCCAGCAAAGCCTTTGTCCTCAGCAGCCAGGGCAAAGGGGGCAGGGTCCGCGGTCACCCCCACCGGCAGTTCTTCCCTTCTGTCTCTGTCACAGACTCCTCATTTTTAGCTTAGCAAGTGGCCTCCCAGAATAGGTGTGTTTCCCAGCCTCTCCTGCTGCTAGGCATGCCTGTGTGGCTACATTGTAGCAGTGGAAGGGGACGTGCAACATCAGGGAAGAGACCTTAAACAGAGGGGTTTTATTTTTTATTTTTTTAATTTTATGTATTACTTTCTTTACTTTTTACTTCCTCTTTCCTGATGGGTGGAATACAGTTGTAATGGCCAGAGCTCCAGCAGCCACACTGGCCCACGAGGAGAACTTGGGCCTGGGAGTCTTACACAGCAGAGCTAAAGATGGAAGAACCCATGGGGAGCCTGGGTGGCTCAGTCGGTTAAGCGTCCGACTTCGGCTCAGGTCATGATCTCGCGGTTCGTGGCTTCAAGCCCCGCATCGGGCTCTGTGCTGACAGCTCAGAGCCTTGCGCCTGTTTCAGATTCTGTGTCTCCCCCTCTCTCTCTGACCCTCCCCCGTCTCTGTCTCTGTCTCTGTCTCTGTCTCAAAAATAAATAAACGTTAA